CTCTAATGCTCCCTTACTATTTCTCTGTTTGTAATATATTGAAGTAATATTTTTGAATGATTAGCAACCAGCAGAGTAGTATTGATGGTGATTTCATGAACTGCATTGACATAGAGGGTACTGGTTTTCTTGGAAAATGATTTTTCGCCAGGAATACTAGTATTATTTGTTGTTAAATCGTATTGAAGTCCTTCAGTTCACATGTTTTAGAATATTTCATTTGTAGAATAATGTGTTTCTAGTTGCTACAATCGTGCACAAGAAAACTGTTCTCCGAACACAATGTTTCTGTCGTATTCTTTGAGGATTTTTCATTTTCTGTCTGTTTTCACAATATAATTTGCTTCATTTCGTATCAGAAAAAAATATTTATTTTGTTTGATTCTTGATCAATTACCCAATGATTGTGTTTCGTGTACTTTTTTAAGATGCAGTTCATAGAATTTTGTGCCGGAATTCGAGGAACAAAAAATCGAATATAAAAAATACACTTAATTCAAACTTAAATTATTTCCTTTTGTGGTTCAGTCGTTTGTCAGATTAAATCTTCCTTTTACACCTGCCATGCATTTTTCGTTGGCCCTATTATCCAAAATAACTACACCCGCTCCAAAATATAATTTAAATTGAGTCAGTCCTGATAACGTTTTTGATGTTGGAATTAATGAAATATTTCTCTATATATACTCTTTTTGGTAATATGGTTACGAAGAGTTACTAACATTCAAGTGACGAAAGAACAGAATTCAAAAATGTTTTATCATAACACCCTATTTATTATTTTTTGTACTGATTTGTTTCGGCTATGCAGAAGGTAAACAAAACACTATTGAATATACGGCATACAGTAACTCACAAAACTATTCGGACATTTATTAGTTTAATAAAAATTGCTTAAAGTTTCCTCAGAAAACCACGTCATTATTAGTTAGCGTACAAATTTGAAAGAATAAAATGTTTTTAAATACGTAAACATTATAACTACTTTCAAAATCTGTATTAATTTGGTTAAATTAAAAATTAATCGCCGATGCAGAGACTTTGATTTGAAGAGATATTGCTTCAACAAAACTATTCTGACAACCATTGGGTGAATATGGTAAAGGATCTTTTGATTTCCGAGAAGAACGTTGAAACCATTAACACTCACTATATATTCAAGGTCTCCTGTCAGTCGCTGAACCAGATTCGTGGGAACCTTAAGGGTTAAGCAAAATTAGTCTTAGAAGAAAGAACACCACTTTTAAGCAGCGACAGCTGGGTATTTACCATCACGCTAAGGGCAACTCATGCCGAAAAAATTGCAAAATGCTATTAATGAAGAAAGGAAGTGAGTGACATAATCTTACGGAACACCAATGAAGAGAGGATTGAACTAAGACCCCTGGGGAGGAAGCCCGAAGACATTTTCTGTCCGAGAAGAGAAGTTCATTGTGAGAATAATAAATCCTCGTATTAGTCCAACAAAAACTACTGGACAGTTGGAAATTAGAATTGGTAAGACAGTTAATTGAGAAACCGTGTGAAGTCTTTTAAAGAGGTTCAATTTCCATAGCCGCGTTGCTAGAAGCAAGCTATTTATAAGTAAAGCGAACTGAAGGAAAATACAGGGGTGTGCTAAATAACACGCAGAAAGAGATGAAAATTGGTGGCATAGTCTTTGCTGACAAGTCGAAAATGGATAACTGTGAATTCGATGGAAGATTTCGGGTGTGTAACCAAATTAAAAGCTTTAACTAGTTCAACTAGCTAGAGTTAAAGAGAAAACATGTAAGCAATCGTGAAGCGCTGAAGAGAAAATGTTAGGCTGCGTGTCAGCCAGTGGTGTCGGTCAACTTGCGTTCGTAGAGCAAATGAACAGTTTCAACTATATTGGCATTCTTATATAAAATTTAAAACAAAGAGCTGAAAATCTTATGATTTCTTGATACATTTCACTTTTATCAAGACAATGATCCTCAGCACAAGTCACAAGTTGTTCAACTTTGGCTGCTGCCAAGTTCCCCATGGTACTTCAGTCACCAGACCTTACTTTTACAGAACATCATTGGGAAAATTAAAATAAGGAGATAAAAAATACCCAATTCATTACAAACAAAAATGAAAACAAATTATATTTAAAAAAATTATCCTTCTTATAACCCAAAACTTGGTTTAAAGTATACCAAATAAACTAAAGGAAGTGCTGTAGATAAAGGAGATGGTTACAAGGTACTATTGACCTCTCATACTGTGTTGTTTTTGCGGAAGTAGTTTGTAGTTGCGGAAGACCCGCAGCCGTTTTTTCCGTTTTCCTTTTTGAGCATTATTTACTGTGCATACTTGTTCATATTTACATTCAAGTGTCCGAATGATTTTTTGAGTTAACTTTACAGCATAAAAAATCTAAAATGTCTGTTGATTATTGTGATTTTAAAGACACTTTTATAAATAACTTATTACTGCTTATGAATGAGATCGTGTAATATACATTATTGCATTCATATTATTCCTTTATTATTCATAATAAATGATTATTTTGCTAAATTTCCCGTGTCCAAGTAGTTGTCGAAGTCACTCTACACACACATTTTCAATGCGGTTATGATAAGAGAAAAAAGATACTTCACTCTGACCGTTTTCACAATGTCCATTTTCTCCGTAAGAACCTTCACCCTTACCATCTTAACCGTGAACATCTCTACTGTATTTATAGCCATTCGCTCACAAATACATTTGAATCCTTAATATTCTCGGTATGCTGCGTGTAAATATACCAAAGGTGGCTTAGAAGGGAATAATAATCAAAATCGAAACATAGAATGTTTTCTGCTTCCACCGAAGATATCTACAATATGGAAGTTAATGCGCATCAGAAAACATTTGTTTGATTTCAAACCATTTGGTTCTTTGGATGCCTTCAACTCTACTGCATAATCAAATCCGTTCTGAGAGTGTCAATCTTCGAATTCATATTCCACGTTCCCAACTTCTACTTTTCCGTCATTTAACTAATCCGTCTTCACTCTAACCGTTTTCACACTATCCATTTTCTTCACAAGAAACTTCCTTCTAAATTTCTTCACCCTTAGCATCTTCACCGTCAACACCTCCACCGTGTGTATCTTCACCATTAGCACCTGTACCCCTAACCAGCACCTTAGCCCCTTCACTCTTAGCATCTTCATCCTAAGCATCGCCAGATTCACCATCGTCTTCCCCGATCTACTTTAGTTTCCTGTCAATTTTAACCTCACCCACGTCAACGTCTTCCATTTCAGCATAATTTGAGCTTGCCCATTGGCTGGCTTTCTCTTCATCTTTTTCAACTTCCTCTTCATCCTCCCTTTGCGCGCCGCCACCCGCCCGCTTGCGTTCACGTCCCGCCCCGTCCCTCCCGGAGGGCTGCGCCCGTCACGCGCTTCCTCCTCTACCTGCGGCGCCGCCTTTTCACAGATAATTAGGTCGACCCTAGCGGCGCCCCGCGCTGGCCTGGGAGCTCCCCTTTCAGCCCTCCAGCACCTCCCCGCCTCCCCCCTCCCATCTACTCATTCTGCACGACTCGCCATGCGCCTCTCGACCCTTGCCTTACTCAGCCTGCACCCTGCCCCAATTCTCTTTATCCTCTCCCGCCTCTTTCTCATACCGCCCCCGTCCTTGCTTTTTACTTCCCCCTCCATCCCCCGACCCTGCCCTTCTGTCCTCTACTTTCCCCTCCGCCACCTTCCCATGCCCCGCCGTGCACCACTCCCGACCACTCCCCGCTTCTTCCCTGGCCTTTCTCTGCCTGCTCTCTGCCCCACCCAACCACACCACCGCTGCTGCCCCGTCCCTGTCCCCTGTTGCCCGCACCTCTAACCCCTCCTGCAGCGCCCTTGCGCCCCTGCCCGCGCGCGCCATCTGCGGTGAATTCGCCTCGAAAACCAACTCGAGATAGTTATGCTCCCCTCGGCAAGCGAAGGCGTTGGATGCAGGGGCTGCAGTGCAGGGTGCGGCGGCGGCGAAGGCGGCGCGTGATGAAGCGCCAACGGACGCGAGGAAAAATGACTTCCGATACTAAGATGCGACACTTATAATGTCTGCTCTGTTCTGTAATTGGAGCAGTCTGTTCTAATTTTATATTTTTAAAACACGCACTGTATGAATAGCATAAAGTGTTAAAACACAACGCAACCAAGTTCCAAACGTAAGAAAACAAGATGTAAGCAATTGTAAAAAAAAGAGGTGTAGTTTGTACGGACACTTAATTTAAGAGAAACATAAATAAATAAATAAATAAATAAATAAATAAATAAATAAATAAATAAATAAATAAATAAATAAAGTAAATAAATATATAAATAAAATAAAGTAAATAAATAAATTTCTAAAATGTATTTGTGCAATCATATGAAACAGTATTGGCTACGAAATTCATTTATATTTTATTTGAGAGTAATTCGCCGTCTATAAACTTCTGCTGGACACACCTGCGATTGTACTCGTTGGTATCAAAGAATATTAAATTCATTCCAAAAACGAAGAAAATAATAAAATAAAGTTTTTGTAGTAAACCCACCACTACAAAATGTATCTTTTGTCTCTAAGATAATAAATGTGTATATTATTGATTGATCAGTTGAAGTACTCATTTAGGATAAGAAATGGACTTGAATTACAGTGAATTGCATTTTCAAACTTATGTAAGTGAAGCTTGTGAAACTGCTTTCTAAGAAGTGAGGAAGATTCATGCTGGAGAGATGCAATTGTTGAGATCACTGAATGGTTTCAAATCAATTACATTGGTAATCCAGCGGTAATGCAATTCGCTAATAATTGCAACAAAACATGTTTAGAACGACGGTAGACAAATATGTAAAAACGATGTGATTGAAGTGAGTGAGGTTTCTAAAATTGTTGGATGTGATGGCGATGGAGGCAGAGGTGGCATCGATGGTGACGACGTTTATAGAGAGGCTGAAAATGCAGATGGTGGCTAGAGAGGTAATGGGGTGGTGACAGTAGTGACCTTGACAGTGGCGTCAGTTGTTTGAGGTGGCGTAGTTGGCGGTGTGGATCTTGGCTGTAGCATCGTTGACGATGTCGACGTTGGCGGTGTCAATGTTGGCGGTGTCTACATTGCTTCCAACGACGTTGGCGGTGACGACGTCGGTGGTGGTGACGTCGGTGTCGACGCTCACGGAGATGATCGGTGGCGGTGGTGGCAGCGACGTTGGCGATATTGATGGTGGAAGCGTGGTCGGTGGCGACGTTTGCGATGGCGACGTTGAGGGTGGCGACATCGATGACGCTGACCCGGAAGACGCAAGCGCTGGCGAAAGAGCCTGGTGTGGCAGCGCCCTGAATGCAATCGAAGGCCAGACCGGGCGCCGCGCCGCACGCCCATCGAATAGAGAGGCGCCTTGGCGGGGGCTGCGGAGGCGGGCGACGGAGGAGGTGCTTTCACGGGCGGAGGTGGAGAGGAGGCGCCAGTGTGAGAGCCAGACGCTCCCGCGAAAGGACGCGGAATTAAACGGAACTTCATATTGAAAGGGTTACGAGTGAAAGAGTTTCCGTTACATTAGCAATTTGGGAGAAGGCACTTCGTGAAAGCCCAACACGTGTTACCTGTCCAATAAGTATTGTTACTAGAATTAGAAGTATCCTTATCATATTCAAGTTATTTTCTGTTTATTTATTTCTATCAGTAAAATGTCTTCTTTCTTTTTTCAATTAAGTAAATGTCCACGTGATATAACACTCATGAGTGCATAGTCTTCTTTCTTGGCATTGTTCACTTCATTTTGGATGGATATTGCACATTCCCTTAACTTTTTTATTAAAAACCTTTAATTTTGTTAAATATTTCACTGAAACCTTTTTTGCTTCACCCTTGTTTCTATTTTCCTTTGTCTTCCTTGAACCAATTCCTTTCCGTTGGGCAAGTAGTGGTATATCGTCTGTTACATAGTTCACTATAGCGCTTGTAGTTCATAGTACATAGTTCACTCTCGAGAACACAAAGTCACGCAGTATTTCCAACTGAATTTGACCAACAATAAACGAAACCCTTGACAAGTAGAACGCAACGTATTTTTAAATTTAGTTAAATAAAAATACCCGCAAACATACTTTCTGAATTATACAATGATTATAATTATCAGATGATTCGAATTATGCGATCATTCGATTTATCCACATATTATAATTATCCAACTTTGAATTATCCGTTCCAAATTCAGGTAATCCATTTTCATAATCTGGAATAAAACATGACCCCAACAAGACCAAAATCTCCACGACCGCATATGAAAAGTACTATTGTTCTGAGTCGAAGTGAGGAACTATCTGCCAGCCGAGGTCCGAGCGCGACGCGACGCATGTGGCGCCGCCGCCAGCGGCGACGGGGGCGGCAGCGGAGGCCGAGAGCGAGGCGGTGGCGGAGGCGGAGGCTGAGGGGGCGAGGGGGACGATGAGGGCGATTCGGGGCGTCGGGGCGCGGACGTTATGAACCCGCCCATCGCGGCCAGCTGCCGTCTTATTGTGGCCGCTGGCCGGCTGCAGCCGAGGGCGGAGGAGTCTCCGGTGGACGGAGGGACGACGATGTGGCCGCCGCCTCCCCCGCGACGGGAGTTCAGGCGGCTGTGACGCCGCTTGGATGCTAGGAGGCCCAGTCGCCAAGAAGCTCCGGCTCGGAGCTGATGCTCAGATTCAAAGAAATTCGGAAGTAATACACTTTCATCTCGTTTTTATTGTGTATTATCTTTTTGCTATTAACTTAGATATCTCATCTAAAATTGAGAAATAAATGTCATTGGTAAATGAGTTTATTGCAACCTCCAGATTTGTTCATTCCATTATATTGTTTAAATTTTTTCTCTTACACAAATAGCAAATAATTTTAATTTCTGTATGTTTTCTATCAGTTTTAGTACTTATTTAGACAACCCTAATTGAGTTCCCTCAGCAACTGTTATTCAAACTAATTGCTTAATGGAAATCAATGAAATAAAAAGTTGCAATTGGTAAAAAAATTATTTGGTTAAATGTGAACTTATGAAAAGATATGAAATTTTTGGGTTAAGCGCCTAATAACAATACCAATTTCATTATATTTATTTACATTTACAGGAAAGGAACTCACAAATTAAAGGAATCTATGTTGATACTCTATTTTTATAATAAACTAGCCAAAGACGACGTATGTTGTACCTAGGGAATTCTGGTTTATACCGAATTGTGATCTACTATCGATTATGCCAATAGTATCCTCCCATTTTTCTCTGTATGGAATATAAGATGAGTGTTGACTCACGCTGTACATACAGTTGTTTGTTACACTAAATGATGTATTATTGTAGAATATTATGTCTACATTCACGCTCTTCTCCTCGAATAGACGCAAACGGAGTTAACAAGCTTACTGAAAAGGAAACGCGGCAGAATGTTCTGACATGGAAAGGTTTTTAATCAAACGACAAATTTCACAGGAATTGTTGAAAATTCTTTATTGTAGTTATCTACACTTTCCACGGCGTAAGGCAATAATTGGACCCTTATACGTCGCCTATAATGCTCGTATATATTTGTTGGTCATTCATGAAATATTTCTTGTTTGGCCGTTCTACTTTGGTTTGAAGCGTCAAAATCGTCAGTTACCGACACATTGTTCTTAGCTGCTACTGCAGATCTCGCTGTTCTTCCAATACCCATTTGAAATACATTACAAGATTTTATCAGAGATTCACATATGTGACTAGAGAATAATATACTTCCTTCTATTCTGAGTAAAGAGAACATGATCTCACGAAGTCCATGTATTTAAGTATGTGTCGTCCAAACACATAAAACATTTTATAACACAACTTTAGTGAATTGTAAGTAAAAATCTACAAACGTGAGCGCGTGTTAACCAAAACATTATAAGTATTTTTTAAAAAAATAACACACCACAAAAAAGGGAACGTATGGGGAAAAAATTAAACTAAAAAGAGATGTTCCACACTGTTGTACGTGAGTCGTTGACCGATACAAGAGCTTCTAAACAAACGGCTGACGCTGTAACGCGAGTATGGGCGTACGCGATCATTGCCATGAACATGATGGGGAGGTGCGCTGCGTGGGGGAAAGGTGGAATGCATGTACGACATCAGGATCAGGCAGAGTGGCTAACGCACCAACGGCGAGCCTCCAGTGGATGTTATGGTCGCAGATTTCCGGTCTATAACGCCCCGTAACTGGTTGCAATCTCCGCTTCGCTTTCCCGCCATGCGCTGCGATTTCAGGCCACTGCTTTTCAACCTCGGACCGTTAGATCGATCGAAACAGGTCCTGTTCTTACCATTACAACCTGCTTTACACGTTAATGGCTTTTCTTACAATTACATGTTTTTACCTATTCTTCGATGAAAGTGCTTTTGCTCACAAAAGGTTTTTAAGAGTTTTGTAATATTTTATTTCCAAGAAGGGAAGGAGAAAAGATGGACATATTGCGATGTGCAAGTTAAAAATTCTGTATAATTCTGTATTAAGAAGTGCAGAAGAGATTTAAGTTTCAATATTTTTCTCTATAGACGATATGTTGTTTTTCAAATTCCTGGGAGAATTTTTTGCTGCTCCAAAGAGATAGAATCCAGTTATATTTTTTTAAGGCCATTAATGTGATGGAGAGCCACACCAGGTGTACACCAGGCGTCGATAGTTTAGTAATATAAAGTAATTGTTAGAAAGCCTTCGGCCTAGCGAAACACAATCATATTTGCAATAAATGATTTACTTAAGGATCTCGAACAAAATGTTTTCTTTATCTACAGTAAACACGAAAGGGAAACAAGGCGAAATATGAGAATTGAATTGTGGTTAATATTGTATTTCAGTAGGAAAAGAATATTCACTATGGATTTAATTCTCGCTAAGAAATGTGTTTAAAAATAAGTTACGGGTATTTGAGAATTGAATTGTGGTTAATATTATATTTCAGTAGGAAAAATAAGTTACGAGTATTTGATTAAACTATTCATCCAATTGACTTATGTTTAGTAGAGTGTATATGCGGTTATCTAACAGCAGTTGTCAATTGGTTGAATTTCAACCGAGTTTGAACGATTCATTCTTTGCTTCTTTAAGCCATTATTTTTCACTAACTTTCATTTTCCTCCTTAGACCCAGACAAAGGTTTGGGAAGGATAATTCGGCAAGTCAGGGGAAATTAAGTTTAGAGCTTTTACAACCTGTCTATGGTTAAAATATAATGTAATGATTTTTCAATCTCTATTTCATATCTGAAACATATACGCTAGTGAAAATGTGTAGATTTTTGAGTTTTGGCTTTTGGTTTTTATGTACTAGCGGAATCCGCCAGACGTTGACCTGCACTCCATCTCTCGCTTTCTTCTTCCCTCTCTTTTTCTTTCTCAGTCTCCTTCACTGTCCTTGTCCCTCTCTGTCGCCTCTCTCCGTGTCTCTCCCTCCCCCCTCTCTCTTTCTCCTCTTTCTCCTGGTCTCCCACCCACTCTGTGTCGCTGTTTCTCTCTCTCTCTCTCTCTCTCTCTCTCTCTGCGCCTCTGCCTCTCTCTCCGTGTCTATCTGTCTCTCCCTGGAGAAAATTCACAAAAGTAGAGGCAAAATACGCAATGAAGACGTCTTAATAATCGTACTTCAGGGTGCGACGGTTTCGTAGAGCACCCTGTTCAGGAGTGATTGAGTCATAATAAAATCATGATCAACGCGCGTCTATGCGCGCAGGCATGTGCACATTTCCATCGTACTGTACTTATATTCTTTCCGGAAGTGCAAAAAATAAGTTGACAAAGTTTTAGCGCAATCTCATGAGCGATACAGCAGCGCATTTAGTACGAACCAACAAACCCACTATCAAACATTACTTTTAAATATTAGATTTACTTATTAATTGCTAGTAACTAGAATTTTTGTATATTAAAACAAGATATCAATATTTAAGGGTAGAAATTTTTAGATTGTATTATCCAGCTGAAAGTTCAGTGTAGAACGCGTTGAATGATTATAATCATATTACGACCATAAGATAAAAAAGTGTTAATAAGTATCACAAATAACATAGTGTATAACGGAATATTTACTTACACAGAGTCTTTTGGCATTCACATTTAAATTTTATTGCTACTTACAAATAATGAAGCATCTAATTTTATCATTCCACGAGCGCAGAAATTACTTTTATCTTCCCGATTTTACCATGATAATATTCGGCGTTTTCGTTTCATCTTTGCACATCATACCTTCTGCTTGTCACTCTGAGATGTTACAATACTTTGGTTTCGTT